CCCTTTTTTTCCTAATGAAAATTTACCTGAGTTATAACAGCTTCTGTGTTTGCTGTGACTACGATCTCTGTGGCGTTTGGAATCATCTTGAGTGCCTGTCTCTTATACACATCTAGATGTGTATAAGAGACAGACTTTTGCCTCAAGGTCTCATCGAAATTCGTTACCAGATTTTAAATAAAATTTAAATTTACAAATGATTGTTTTAATTTTGTCACTTGTTTTTGGCCCGGCCGGGCAGGTGGTCCCGGACGGGCCAAAAAGAAAGGGAAAAAAAAGGAACAGGAGAATACAATTCACACTGTACTCGGAGACGAGGATTGGAAGGTCACAAAGAAAGGGAAAAAAAGCAAAGACAAAAAAAAAAAGAAAAAGAGAAAAAAGAAGAGAAAAAAAGGAGCATCGCAATGGCGCAAGCGGTTCCACAATGATCGCCAATGATGACGTCAAGGAGAATGACGATCGATATCGTCAAGGCGAAGGACGGCGACGAAGAAAATGAAGGTAGACAGGTCAAGAAGGCGGAGTAGAAAGATGAAGAAGAAGAGGAGAAGAAGGAGAGGATAAAATGACATGAGGAGGAGGAGGAGGAGGAGAAGGAGGACGATGAAGGCGGCAACGAAAGTCGGCCGTGCTCATCCGAGGGCCCCGTGTGAAAGGAAGGGCTCACGCTCAACGAATTACTAATTTAGGTCGACTTTTGCTTTCTTCCCCTGCGTGTATATTAGATAGATTTGGCTTTGAGAGATCGATCATCAAAAGATCCATCCCTCCTATACTGACAGGCTCCTCTTGCCCTGTAAGGCATCTCGTTCTCCTCTCCTCCTCACTATCTTCCCCCCTCCCTTTCTTCCACCTCCTTCATATTCCTTCTCCTCGGGTTTCACGCAGACTCTCTCTCTCTCTCTCTCTCTCTCTCTCTCTCTCTCTCTCTCTCTCTCTCTCTCTCTATATATATATATATATCGTCACATATATATATATATATATATCGTCACAAACAGAAATGCCCGGTAAAACCGTAGGCAGAGAGAGAGAAGAGGACAACAAACGAGGGGCTGTGACAGATATATATATATATATCGTCACAAATAGATATATATATATATATTGTCACATTGTGAATCAGAGCGCAAAAAAGGGAAAAGAAAAAAGGAAAAGGAAAAAAGGGAAAGGGAAGGAGGTAAGGAAAGCT